TATTTACTCTTAATATGGCATTTAAATGGTGACAGTAGCAGTTACTGTTTCCTAATTGAGTATATTCTACCTTCCTCTTTCGAGAACATTTACAAGATTACTGTTATGGCGATATTTCTATGGGAAACTATTATTTCACCATAGCCTTAGAAAAATAAAACAGCAAAAAAATACATACCTACGATACCTCATCTGCAAAGTGCTTCCCACAAGTGATTGGATTGTATTGGCTGACCATCTGCAAGTCATTTTAGTTAAGTACCCATCAGTTTCACATGATATATTGATATTGACATCTATTTAAAACACATTAAAATATTAATAGAAAGCAAAAGACACCAAAAATTTTTAATGAAAACAAAATTCCCTTACATCTTCAATGGAGCCCTAACATAGGCTCCATAATAAAAATGTATATTGTGAAACGAAATGAAGGAGACCTCCGTATTCTTACCAATCACATATAACTCAGCATAGCGATGGTGGCATTCATGCTCATTGCAGCAGTATACTGCATCATAGGTGAACTTTCCTCGAGGTTTGGTTGCATTCAAATTGTGAAAAGTAACTTTACTAACATGGTCACCCACAACATTATACTGGCTGTGAGGGATTTTCTCAGCTAGATTCATCCACCACACAATCTTTTCTGAGGAAACAATCTTGTTTTCATTTTTATAGATGCAGTGAAAAGAAACGTTAGACCCCACAGGTGTCAGAATTTTCGGTGGAAAGTATATGACATCTGTAATAAGGGAAGAAAGGCAGAATGTCAGATGAAGGCAGAAAACACCATGTAAGCAATTTACACTATGTAAAAAAAGATTCAGGGTTACACGGCCAACATAAAATGAGTGTGCTAAGATACTGCAAAACTGTAATTGTTTGTGTACAGTTGTGTACAGTCCCAAGCACTCCCATCTTCAAATGACCTGAGCTTCCACAAATGTCAATATTTTCTAAACATAGAGACAGTTATTATCAAATATGTTTTAGTGAGTAATGGTCACTTGCTAACTGATAGGTTGAAAAATAATGAAAATGAAATTCCAGTCTAATTCCACAAGGACAAGACTTCCATCAGACTCTGCTTTCAGAAGCAGTGAAGCTTAGAACCACCAGACCTCTGTAAAGATGAGAATGATAATGCTGTCAATATAGAAAGTGGTACAACATGCCAAGGGTGCCTGGAAGGAAAAGTTGGGGGAAGGAAGGAAAAATAGAAGTCATATAAATACAAATATTCTTTCAAATGTGTAAATAGTCTCAAGGAAGATCATAACAATTGTTTGGAGTTCAATTAAAAAGGAGATCCACAAGTGTTTGCAACTGTAGAGCTACTTTATACGAATGTCACTCACAAGGAGAAATCCAGCTGTTGCAATCCTATGTGGATGTTCATGCTAATGAAAACTTTTACACTTGTGCATGTACATGACAGCAATCCAAGCCATCCTCTGCTGGCTGTTGCTGGATCTAGAGGCATAGTTAGTATAATTAACCCCATAACAATGCAATGCATAAAGCACTATGTTGGCCATGGGAATGCTATCAATGAGCTGAAATTCCACCCAAGAGACCCACATCTTCTCCTGTCAGTCAGTAAAGATCATGCTTTACAGAATAAATGCTTTATGGAATATGATAACAGACACTCCCATGGCACTATTTGGAGGTGCAGAAGGGCACAGAGATGAAGCTCTAAGTGCTGATTATGATCCTTTGGGTGAAAATAAATAATGCCCTGTGGCATGGATCACTCCCTTAAACTTTGGAGGATCAATTCAAAGAGAGTGATTAATGCAATTAAGGGATCTTATGATTATAACCCAAATAAAACTAACAGAAAATTCATTTTCCTGACTTTTCTACGAGACACATACATAGTAATTATGTTGATTGTGTGTAATGGTTAGGTGATTTGATACTTTCCAAATCTTGTGAAAATGACATTGTATGATGGAAAGCTGGTAAAAATGGAAGATGATATAGGTAAAATTAAGCCCAGTGAATCTAATGTGACTATTCTTGGGCAATTTGATTACAGCCAGTGTGACATTTGGTACATGATGCTTTCTATGGATTTCTGGCAAAAGATGCTCGCAGTGGGCAATCAGGTTGGCAAACTTTGTGTTTGGGATTTAGAAGCAAAAGATCCTTGTAAAGCCAAATGTACAACACTGATTCATCATAAATGTGGTGCTGCTACTCGACAAACTAGTTTTAGCAGGGACAGCAGCCTTCATACAGCTGTTTGTGATGATGCCAGTATTTGGCATTGGGCCCGACTTCAATAAAATATTTTTCCTAATCAAAATGAGTGTGTCTTCTGTGTGCAATAAAATTAATGTATCTTGCTAGTCGGGGCACATACAGCATTTAGAGTGGTCTTCCAGCATTCAATCAGGCTGAGTTGAATGTAATGCTGTCTCCTGCTCAGACTCTACTGGTTTTAATAAAATTTTTATAAAGCCAAAGAAAAAAGAAATCAGTGAAGCCTAGAGTGAGTTCTTAAATCACTATAAGACAAAATCCTGAAAAAAAAAAAAAGGGTGGTTGCTATGTCTCATTTGCATATATGCAAATTTAAAATTTGCAGGTAGAGAAATTAACTTTAAATTAAAAAACTAGATAGGAAATGTAAAATTAATAATACACCAATACAGAAAGCAGGTCTGTATATTACTGGTCTGTAGTATCATTTTGAACTATTTTATACCAGTCTCTTTTGGTTGAGGACAAGGGGAACAAGTATTTTTCTAAAATATTATTTTTAATGCCTACACACTATTCCATGCTATTTTTTCAGTTCCCTATTGTTGGGAATATGGTTTGCCTATATTTTAAATTAGAAACAGAATAAAAGTAAATGACTGTTAACATAGGAAGAAATTATTTCTGCCAGAGTGCATTATACAAACAGTAAATTTCGACTGTACAATTTAAGGTAACCCTTTTTTTTTTTTGGCTGATAGAATATGAATGTCTGTTTTCATTCATAACATCTGGATTACCTCCAAAAAAAAATTTTATTGGTTTTTATTGTTTTCTGTAATAGCGTGTTGAACTCCAATGTCTTTATATTTACAATCCATAGAAGACATTGGCGTTTTGTATGTCTACAGTTAAACAGAAATAAGAAAAAACTTAATAGCATGAAATTACTGTACAGAAGCCAGTCCATTAGCTTTATAAGCTAGTCTAGGATGGCACTCAAGCCTCCCTGGTACATTACGTGCTGCACACAAGTACCTAGTGCTGATCTGAGTGATCATTAACCTCCCCTGAATATGCCCCACATCTCATTACTGAAGTGCTCAAAAGTCCCAGAATAATCCATTTTTTTAAAAGAGTACAAATGAGCTTTCAAAAATTAAGCTGAACGGCCAGCCAAGTGGAGCGTTGGTTAAGAGCTGGCTTGGAATGCCAGCTCTGAGCAACAGGGGCCCTATTTGGATCCCACATGAGGACCAGTGACGCTGCACCCTCTACAACTAAGATGGTGAACAACTGCTTGACCTGGAGCTGGGCTGCTGGGAGTCACTGGCAATGGTGTAGGCTGCAATGGGGCTGCAGTGGGCTGCCATGACTGGCTGGCAGCTGGCGTGAGCCGCCTGCAGCCGGCGTGAGCTGCCAAGAGCCGCTGTGAGTGACCGTCCAGTGGCCAGCGACTGATCCGCCTTACCAGGGAGAGTGTAATGATAATACCAACATGGGCCAGTGAAGCGACGTTCTCCACAACTAGACTGAAGAACAAAAAGGACAACAACTTGTCTGTTCCCCTTCCCTGATTCCCCAATGCTGTTCCCCTCCCCCAATTCCCCAATAAAATCTTTAAAAAACAAAAAATTAAGCTGAAGCTTTTAGTTTTAAACAACAAAAACTCAAAGCATTTCACTTCAAAATCGAATGCATATAGTTAAGGCTTAATTAAGGTATAAGATTAAAGTAAAAGTATTTTGGTATTATTAAATGCTGAAATATTAGCTTAAAAATAAGCACAACAATTTATAGATTAAAACTAACAATTTATAAAACTTACATTGAACATATGTATTGAAATTGATGAGGTAAATGTTGAATATTTCAGTTTTAAAAAAATACATATATTTTATTCTCACATGAGATACTATACAATATTTAATTCATAAAATGAGAAAACAATAATGATTTTCTCTTTATGACCAAGTAACAAAACCTTTGTAGAATTTATATTAATGAGCTTCATTAAAAGAGGAAATTCTATTGATAAAAATCAGTGAATTACTCAAAAGAACATAAATCAAAACATTTTAGATAAACTTATTTTAAAATGTGTTTCTTTATTATAGCTCTAAAAATAGACTTTTTAATTCTTAGAGCAGATTACCTAATTTTTTTAAGGGGAAAATATTTCCTCTAACCCATTATAAGAGCTGCCAAGTGTGAAATGTAGAAATTATCCACTATGTATCCTTTTCTTTGGCAACAACAAGAATATATTGATAAAGGTATTACAAGAATTCAGCACTTCTAAAGTTGTTTTCAGTATGTAGCATAACAACCTCAATGCAATATTCTTGGACTCCCTAAGTTCTGCTGAGGTCCTGGGTTTTCCTCTGAAAGTCAAGAACTCCCAACAACTACAAGGAAAGAACTTAGCCAATTCATCTTCTAGGTATCCATAAGAATTCTTTGATTAGAAATAGTCAATGCTTCATTAACTGCACTGGGTAGGTACAGCTTTAATATCACTAATACCAATGAATAAAAAGTAGTAGCTATAAAGTTACTGATAATTAGCATTCTTTTTGCTACGGCAGTGATACACCAGGTAGCCTCTGTTCAAAAAAAAATAAATAAGTAAAATTCAAAGTATTTGTAAATGATAAAGCCGTGTTGCAATTCATTTTAAATAAATCAATGCCTCAGTCCTACAGAATGCTTCTGTTTGGTGGATGGCATTATAGCACTTATCAGTGAACAATGGAGGAGAACTAATAATATTAAGTACCTAGATTTAAAGGAGGAAGATCCAAATCCCTTTGCACAAAGAATAGGAAGTACCCACATTTGGAAAAACACACTTTGCTGATGCATACCATTCAGGGAACAAGCCTCAAGTATGGTAAGCACTATGAAGTATGGAAATTGATGCAAAGGTCATTCAGCAAAACTGAACCTTAAAAACCTAAGCAGCACTGAAACCTCATTTACCAGGAATCATGAAGGACATGAGGTGTTACACTAAAACACTCTATGTAACTAAGCTTTCTGCTTATTAGCTTTGAGCATCAATTTTTAAAGCCACTGGAAATCTTGCATAATTACACATTATGCACTTAATCCCCTTATTACCTTATTAGTGGCTATACACATAAGCTTTGGAATTAGATTGCCAGCTCTGCTACTTTCTAATTGGGTCAACCTTTACAAGTTACTTAACCTCTCTAAATCTCAATTTCTTTGCCTATAAAACAGGAATAACAGTACCTATCTCAAAGGATTCTTGAACGGATAGAATGATAATACGTATATGTAAAGCACTTAGACTGAACAGTGCCTGAAACACAGGATGTACCCTATAACTGTCATTGTCATCATCATTGTTATATTCAATAGGGAATTACGAACCTAATCGTATATTTTATTTGTGATTCAGCACACATCATTATGGTAGATGACCTACAATGGGCAAATGTGCTTGAGAGCTACTAAGGTGCGCAAGCTTTTGTCCCCACTCTTGGTGCCTTTAGCATATTTTCTTTTGGCAAGTTTCTGTCTCTCCCTGAACAATCATCTGTTTCCACTCAATGGCATCTAAGCTATCCAAGTTAGTTGAATTAATAAGCTTAACTTTATACTTATTGCTAAATCAATGAATTGCACCCTTTGGGGCAGCTATTTACTCACTATCCAGACTTTTTTTTTCTACATATTTTCAGACTTTTCTGTTTGGGATGTCTAAAGTCACTAGAGCGACACCTGTGAATAAGTAAAAGGCTAGCTACTAATAGTAATATTGTTGGATGCTGTACAAGCAAATAAATTGGCAAATTTTCTTTGTGGCAAAACATATCTTTATCTTCATGTACACAAACACTAAATATTTGCAGATGGAACAGCATATAAGTGTGTATGTGCTTTACAGCATATATTAATAGAGTTGATTACATTAGGTATGAAAGCATAAAAATATGATCCAACATATTAAGAAACCAAGCAAATTTAATCCTATGGACATTAACATAAACTGGGAAAGTAAGAGAAGTATAAAAGTGTGTTATATGAAGTAAAATAGAACTAAAAATGTGTCTATCCAAAGTTCTAAAGGCCTAAATTGAATAATCCAAAACAAAATCCCATGTGAAATGTGACACAAATAACTATTATACTGAATCAAAGTTTTCAGTTTAATCCAGCTGACTACATAACATTGCTAAGAATAATTATTTTAGAAAGATACAATTTGAATATTAGCAAACTTTAAAAACAATGATGAGTCTTTTAGAATTTCCCTCTTCTGCAAAGAGGGTAGGTTTTCAGATCTAATTAAGAAGTAAAACAGTAAAGAATAAACCCATTTTCTTGTGGATGTAAAACATTTCGCCTGATGGTTAAATAAAAGCGGCAAGCCAGCTAGGGGCTGTTGCCTCTACTCCCTTTGTCAAACTTCCCTCCTCGCCACCCACTTCACCACATTCCACTGTATAAAAACCACCATGGGACATTCTTTGAAATTGGATGTTAATTCATTCCTGTTAATTCAGTCACAGCTGATCATTGAGGCCCATTAATCAAATATATATAATTTTAATCTTCCTTCCAAAAGCTCAATTGTCAGGATCATATTACACACATAATGATACTCACTAATTATTTGAGGAATAGAGATGAGAATTTCATGTCTTCTAACTCTGTGCACACCAGGCCCAAAACTTTCCCAGTGAGAATTAATTGCCCCGGTTGCTTAGCAGTTTGCTAAGCTCCTCTCACAATCTTGCTTGTGCTATGCAATTAGTTATGGACCATGTCAATCTCTCACCTTCATTAGACTTTGAGATTTTTGAATACTGAGAGTGTGGATTGATAAACTATCATAGCATCTACTATTTCCTGAGTGCTTACTAAGGGGAAGTAAGCCACTGCAGTAAGTTCTTTGTGTGCATTATTTCATTCTATCCATATAAAAACATCCCCATTTTACATATGAGGAAACTGAGGCATAGGAAGGCTAAGAAACATTCCACATAAGTGAGGGGGCCAGGACTTCTATAAAATTCTGTCAATGCTCTGAAGCCACTCATGCTACTTACTTTTGACTAACCACTGCTTTTTAAATAGTAAGTGATCAAAAACTAAACGTATGTAGTCAAATGTGTTGAATATCTTCATTGTGTTTGACATGGTACTTGATATCTCCGTGTATCCATGATCAACCTGAGTGAGTTTGAGGAGGAATAGTTTTGCCAATTTGACAGATCAGACAACTTGTCAAAGGACCATGAAGTGTCTTCCTACAGTAACAGGCAAGCATGTGACAGGGTGAGGACTGTCCAAGGCTCCTGGGCCTCTAAAAAACACTACACCTCAACTTCTAAGGAAGTTGTGAATAAGCTGCAGGTTTTCTGAGGCTAAAGATAACTTTAAAAATATGGAAATTGAAAGTGAAAACTCTCAAAAGCAAGCATCTGGAGCAAAAGAATAATTTTATAATATGATATGTAATATTCAAATAAAATAGTAATATTTGAAATGAACGTAAAATAAATAAATATATCTAATTTTCAAAATGTAAGTTAAGGAAACATCAATACAAGTAGTGTTCTGAATGTGTGGATTTGGAACTTTTATATTAACTCTGTCTTTTTCATAAGAAAGTAATTCAACAAGATGCTGCTATGGATGCGCATAAACTTGAGAGCTCTTAGACAAGTTTTCATTAACAAATTAACTTGTTCAGAATTTAAATAGAAAATTAATATTGTGTTCCTCCTTTCGGTTTTAGTACCACAAAATTTAAGATTCTTATAATATGTCAAAAGTAACTTCAGAAATAATTTCTCTCTTAACAGAAGGTACTATTATAAAACCTACCTTGTGTAGTAAAAATAAGAGGGCTGCTCCAGTCACTCCAGACGCCTGGGCCATCCAGTTTCTTGCCCCTCACCTGAACCTCATATGAAGACCCAGGAAGCACACTGTCTACTAGCAGAGATGTAGCTGAAACAATCTCATCAATCTGTTAAATGTTATTGGAAAAAAATATCAGAGCACCAAGTCAACATGGAACCTTTACCAAAACTGATCACAAGCAAGTCTCAACAAACTTCAAAGTATTAAAATCTTACAAAATAGTTAGCTAGCCACAGTGGAATTAAACAAAACTCAATAACTGAATAACATGTGTTGGCACATTAGTCAAAAATTTATTAATAGTGTGTAAGTCCAAGAAATAAAATTGCAATGACAACCAGCAAATATTTTTAACTGGATGATAATGAATATTGCCCTTTCAAATTTTGAGATATATACCTAATGTCAGTGGAAAGCTTCAAGCCACTGCTGAAAACACACGTGGTAGAAAATGATGTGCAGGATAAACAGAGAACTATAAATGTTAGAGGAAAACATCACAGAGGGAGGGCATGAATAATTTTAAGAACCTGGGCCTGATGATAAGCTTCAGTGAATCGAAATACAGTTTACAAACTAGAGGGAAAATATCTAAGAGACCTAACTCTGCATAAAACAACCACTAGCTACAAATTGCTTAGCAAATAAATTCAGTCTTCAAATGATATCCTCCAAAACTATTGAACTCCCCGGCCTCTGAGACTATGGGGTGCCATAGACTGAAAATGGTGACAAGCATTAGGAACGCATTAAACAATATCAGATCACCTATAGTATTTAAAATCCTACTTTCTCCATTTCACAGGCGAGAAAGCTGAAGCCCAGAGAATCCTTCACTCTGCTTTTCCCACGCATAACATAAAGGACACCTATCCTGCTCTTTATGAAACTAAATTCTTTAAAAAGTTAGCCCATATCTAAGAAGACAGTTGTTTACCTCTAAACAACATGACAGTCTTGTTTCATAAAGTTCCAAAGTCCTTGGATGGCCCAGGAGGCTCGTTACAATCTCCTGCTTCTCCTTCTCTTCCCCTCTTTTTCCCAATCACAGATTGATTTTTATTGGGGTAACATTGATTAATAACATTCTATAGTGTTGGGAAGACTGGAAAGTCACACGCAAACAGAATGAAACCAGACCACTCTCCTCTACCCTTTTTTGATTCATCCACCATTATTCTTACCCTTACTCACTCCCTTGGCTTCCAGCTTCCCTTCCAGCTTAGGGTCTCTGAATTGCTGTTTTCTCTATTTGGTTTCCAGATATCCACATCACCATCTCCTTCAATCCTTGCTCTAATGTCACCTTCTCAATGAAATCTTCCCCACTTCCATTTACTCTTACAACCCACCGTGTCCCACCAGCATCGCCAAACTCCTCTTATCCTGTTCTACTATCCCAACATATCCTAATGAGAGCAGAACAGTTCCTGACATCTAGTAGGTGCTCAATAAATACTTACTGAAAGAATGAGAAAAGTGTTTAACATACTTTACAGTACAAAAGCACTCACTGCATGTAAACAAATATATTGAGTAATAAAGCAAAAAACGCAAAAAAGAAACCAGAGGATATCTGTAGGTGAAAAAAAAATTATAATTATGAATTCGAGTTCTGTAACTGGACTTCCTATAGCCATTTAAGTGTGTGTGTGTGTGTGTGTGTGTGTGTGTGTGTGTATGTGTGTGTGTGTGTAAATGGGAGTGGAAGAAGAGGTGGGAGAAGGGAGAGAGGAGAAGAAAGAGGAAAGCAAGACACAATCAAATATATATATAAACTTTTTTCGGAAGAGGAACTTTTTTTGGCACTAAATTATGGGAGGAATTTGCCATGCTCCTCAATACATAACATGGATCCATATGTAAGAGATATTATGTAATGTCAAACATTTTTCTAAAAGCATTTTACAGCAGAAATGCTGTTCATATAGTCATTTCCTATGCTGATCTTCAATAAAAGCCAGCAGCTTAATGTTAAATTATTACTGATTCTGCTCTACAAGGGTGTGCAATCTTGGTAAGTGGTGGGGGAGGGGAGGCACTTTCTATAGGACTTAGGGGATCTCACATTTACTCTAGTTGCATCTCAACTTTTCCTTTTATTTAGTAAAGTATACTTACTTCTCTCATATTTGTTGTAGAATTCTCTGAATATTTCACTTGATATTGAAGCTGAAATGGTGCCAATGTTGGGCTGGACCAAGAAATCTTTAACTGACCGTTGTCTGTGACTTCCATATGCAAATCTAGTGGTGGATCAGGTTTCACTTAAGGAAAAAAGAGAACACTTTTAAGTCAAGCAATTTTTATGATAATCGTAAAATGAAGTCAAATCAAACTTTTAGCATATCCTGTTCTTTCAACTACTTAAAGGGTGACCTTATTCAAGGGCTAATTATATAACCAAAATATGGGGTCTTCTCTTGTACCTTATCATAGCAATCTCATTTCTTTCTCTCTAAGTGATAAAAACCATAAATCAGCAAACAAGATTATTTTTTTAAAAAAGATTTTATTGGGGAACTGGGGAAGGGGAACAGCCAAGTTGTTCTTCAGTCTTAGTTGTGGAGGGTGCAGCTAGCTCAGTTCCAAGTCCAGTCACCATCTGGCCACCAGTCGGCAGCTCAGCTCAAGGCGCCATATTTAGTCTTAGTTGCGGTAGGGGGGTAGGGGGAGCATAGCCCACCATCCCATGCGGAAGTCTAACTGGCAACCTTGCTGTTAAGAGCACATGCTTTCACCAGCCGAGACATCCTGCCACCTGTTGGCAGCCAGCTCAGCTCAGCTCACTGGCCCATGTGGGAATTGAACCAGCAACCCTGTTGCTCAGAGCTCTTGCTCTTAACCAACTGAGCCACTCGGCTGGCCTGAAACGAGGTTATTTTGATAATATGAATCTCTGCTGTTAAAGAAGTCTGCTTAACTTTACTTAACCTAGCATTTCCCAACTTATTTGAAGCCTTTCCCCACTACACCCACCCACTTGTTTTAGTGGGTAGCAGGAAAGAAAGTATTTTGCAGAGCACTATTTGGAAAATGCATACAGATTTTCATGCAAAACTTAATGCAAATATGAATGTGAATTAATGCAAATATGCATGCAAAATTCAGCAAATCATTTAATTTTGAAATACAAGAATCCAGACATACCTACTCAAATAACCCACAGCATGCATACTTTACATGTAATAAACAGCATTAGCAGGCCGTGGCTTGTCACCAGAAATGGGATGGAATTTCTGAGCCTAAGGGGGTGTTTAACCTGGTAAATTATTTCTGAGTTCATATGTATACATATGTTTATGTATGCATATGCATATATATAGATATAAATATGGGGATATGTGTCTATGTGTCTAGATTTAAACATATAACAAAACCTTTAAATTATTTGTAGAAACAATGTAAACATCTTACAATAAAGGATTGATTGAATAAATTTATGGTTCATCCCTATAAGGGAAATCTATGCAGCCATTAAAATCATATTTGAGAAGAATATTGAAAATGTTTAATATTGTTAGTTTTAAAAGTTTATTAAACAACTCTATACTTGGATTCCTGATTTGTAAAAATTAACAAATAAAAAACATATGTATAAATATGTATTAAAATAGAAAAAATGCCAAAAGGATAGAAAATAGATGATGAATTTTTCTTCTTCATGCATCTCTATTTCAAGATTTTTACAACAAATAGGAATTACTCATGCACAAAGAAATAATCATTACTTGAAACATTGACTGATTTGAATTTTATTTTCAAGAAATAATATGGCACATAATTATTTTTCACATTCTATATTTTCAGAAACTTGGATATAGTTTCTCTCTTTTCCTTGAGTCAAAATTAATAGTTTTACTTTATGTGACATATGACAAATTTAAGTACTTTAAAGAAGGGACAGCTAAACACTAAAGTCTAAAAAGAACAGTTGACATTTAGTTTCCATGACCAAAACCAAAAACACCAAATCATAAAATATTAAATACTCTATGTTTCCTACCTGCATACAAATATGCCTTAATATTAGAAACCTAAAAATCATTTTTCCCAGGCCACCCTATATACACAGTCCCAGATATACTTCCATCTATCTGCTCCTTTCAGAGCAATATTCCTCAAAAGAGTTGAATAATGGCATTACTCATTCTCTCCACTTTGTGTCCCATTCCCTCATCAACCCACTCTGATCATGTCTTCCTCCTTATTGTCCACTGAAACTGCTCTTATCAAGTTCACTACCCTTTGCCAAATCCAATGTCAACTATCTGATTCATTTTACTCCACCTCTCAGCAGCATCCCACACAGCTGCTCACTGTGGAAAAAAAAAAAAAAAAGCTTTAATACTTTTTCCACTTGGCTTCCAGACCATCACACTATTTTACTCTTCATTTCTCTCTGATCATTCCTCAGTCTTTCTCTCACTGAACTCTAAATGGGTGATCTATACAATCACATAGACACCTATATGTTACAGACTCCCAAATATTTATCTCCTCTGAACTCTAGGGTCATATATCCCACTGCCTGCTCAGCATTTCTTCTGTTTCTAAAAAGCATGTCAAACATAATGTGTCACACCCCTAATCCCCCCGAATTTTCCCATCTCAGTATCTGGTACCACCATTTGCTGGCGTGCTCAGGTCCAAGCCTAAGTGTTATCCTTGATTCCTCTCTGTCCTTTGCACGCCACACCCAATCCACTAGAAAGTTCAGTCAGCACCATCTCCCAAATAGATCCTAAGTCTGATCATCACTTTACTTTTCCACTGGCTTAACCCAGCCAACTGGACAATTCCAACAGCCTCCTATCTGGACCCTCTGCTTCCACCCTTGCAGCTATCCTTCCCTCTTCCCCATTAATTTCTTCTTCACAGGCAGAGTAAATATTAAATATGCACATGTATGTGCGTGTGTGTGCACACACACACACACACACACACACACACAAACACACGCGCGCACGCGCACGCACACACACACCTGATCATATAACTCTCCTGGTTCAAAAGCTTCCATTGCATCTAGAAAAAAATCCAAACTCCGTAAACCGTAGCCTATTATATGATCTGGATACAGATAAATCTGACCACATCGCCAAATATTCTCCTACCTCATTCATTCCAAACACAAGGATCTTCTCTTTGGTTTCTTTAACACCAAGCTCATTCCATCTCAAGGGTTTTGTGAGCACTATTCTTCCTGCTCGGAGCACCTTTTGCTCTGGATCTTTGCATGGCTATCTCTTCATTCAGCTCAAATGTTATCTCCTAAAAGAGGTTACCTGTGACTTCTATAGCTGAAATTATAACCCTCACCCCTAACACTCTCCATCACACCACTTGCCTTATTTCTTTCATGGTGCTTACAATTTTTGGACTTTATAATGTACACCCAAATATAAGAAAAAAAATTTCCCCAAAATAGTCCCTGAAGAAAGACAAAATTCTGTTTAAAGTGTTTAATAAAGTCTATCATAGCACTTTCTCTTTATTTTAAAAAAACAATTCAATTCCATGTTGGCTCCAAATGCTTCTGAAAAGTCACTTGATAGATTTGGTTTTAAGAAGAACAAATGATGATATTTAATACACATTTTGTGTCTTTTTTTCTGAGGAATAACTCCATGACTAAATTGCTTGGATATCATTGTAATTATGTTGTGAAGATAATAAATATATCCCTAGATGACAAATTATTTGAAACTCCTAATGTTAAAATATAATGCTATATGCAGATTCAAAAAGCATTATATCCCTGGTAACTTAGAAAGAAGTGAAGGAGAAATTGTGTGGAAAATTATGTCAGATACCTTGAAAAGTGGCTCTACTGATGTCAAAAACAATGATGCAAAGGTGCATGTAAAGATGCAAATAATTGTGTATAATTATTTCAGGAAATGTAAGTGCAGAATAGTCACACTGTTAAACTACATTATATGTGACATAGAATTTAACCTACGTACACAAAACTGAGTTAATGGATCAAGTAATTTAAGTTAACATGTATCTGTTCTACTCACATTTGTAGTTAATGTATTCAAGAAGATCAAAAGAAATTTTGGGAATCTTTGTACTAAAAATATGGGGCATTACCTATTATTTGAGTTTTTCCTGTGATCAGGTTTGTATAGCAACTTACTCCTTGTTTACGTTTTCGTTGTTTATCTCTGCCCGCTATTATTTGTCCCTGCTCCATGAGGCAAGAGCTTCTTCACATTCACCACTGTTTCCCCAGCCCCTAAATCATGCGCCTCTAAGAAATATTTATTGAAGGAATAAATTCAGGCAAAAAAAAAAAAACCTTCGAGTTATTTTCATAAATAGTTGGTTGATAATGTGAAAAAGTAATAATGCAACAATACATATCCATTAGGCAGATCCAGGATTTCAACAAATCAAACTGTTTACAGGAAAGAATTTAGTGATAACTGCAGAGAGAACAATACTACTGTTAAATCGTTCCAGAAGCTGCTCAGCACACTCCCACCCCCACCCCACCCCCAGCATTACACTCACCATCATTACAGGGTTGGTTAAAGCAAAGTATTAAGTATTTCTCAATAAAGTTGTTTACAAGCTAGTGACAAACTTTTACTCAATCTTTAACCGGTTTGTATGACTCATGTTTAGATCCATGATCTTTCTTACGCACAACTTACCAATATTTATAGGCTGAACTGACATTAGAGGTGACTGAAAAACTACGCCAGCAGATGTGATTTTCAAATACATAAAAAGCGTGCAGTTGAGTTTGGCTGTTGGCACCGGCACACGGCATTCGTAGCATTTGTGAACACTGCAGTTGCACTGAACAAGCTGAAAGCTGCCTTTCTCGGGGACCAGAGGCGGCTCTTCTAACACTTCCGGCCTATATGAAAAAAGAAGAACCAAATGTTAGTGTAGATGTGAAGGGACTGGACATACGAAAAATGGAGGACACAAAATACAAATTGAGATAAACTACTCTGGACACCCATCTTAAAGGGCATCTGGCAAAAAGATACATTATATCAGGGAAACAAAGATATAAGGGTTAAAGCAGATGAGCCATCAGAAATAATATAAGCAAGGAAATAGTGAGCCACGGGAAGTACTGAAAGGCAAGGAAAGCTGCTATCCTAAAACCCTATAGGCAGAGAAAATAGCTTTCAAAATAAACATGAAATACAGGCTTTTTTCAGACATGCCAAAACTGAAAGAATTCATCACTATGAGATGTGCATTATAAAAAATGCTAAAGCAAGTCCTTCGGGCAAAAAGAAAATGATAGCAGATGAAGCCTGCTATTTCTTTCACACAAACAAATAAAATTTAACTACGAGGGTAAATATTTACTTACTGTTTAAGACAAAAATAAATTTAAAAAACAAGGTGTATTGTGGGGTTTATAACATGCAGATTGGGGTTTATAACAGAGGTAGAAGTAAAATGTAAGACATTAGCACCAAGCTTGGGGAGGGGAAGATATATCAGTATGCAGTGAAGTGGCGCAATATCACTTATAGGTATAATATCAGGCTATATAATAAGTTAAAAACCTATATTATAAATCCTAAAGCAACCGCTAACATAATAAAGCAAGAAGTTATAATTAATAAGCTACAACAATCAAGCCAATGGACTAGTGTAAAGATAGAAAAAATAGATTACTGGAACAGAATAGAGACTAACACTTACATGGACAACAGAATAGAGACCAATTTTCTATAAAGGTTCAAAAGCAGTTCTATAGAGAAAGGGTCTTCTTTTTCATATATTGTGCCAGCACAATTTATTATTTATTATATGCTGCGGGGGAGGGGGACAACTTTCAATCCATACCTCACACCTGATTCAAAAATTAATTCAAAATGGATTATCAATTGAAATTTAAAACCTAACGCTATAAAACTTCCAGAAGAGAACATGGGAAAATTTTTGTGACCTTGGGTTAGGTAAAAATTCTTACATGTAACACCAAATGCATGATCCATAAAAGAACAAATTGACAAATTAGAGTTCTATGAAGATTGAAAACTTCTGTTCTTTGAAAAGACACAGATAACAAAACGACAAGCCATAGACTGAGAGAATATGCCAATCATCTATTCAATAAAGCATTTGTATCCAGAAGATATAAAGAACTCACAAAACTCACTAATACTAAAATAAACAATCCAATTAAAAAACAGGGGAAGATTTCAACAGTCAATTCACCACAGAAGATATAAGAATGAAAATAAACATGTGAAAAGAACCCCAACATCATTAGTTATTCAGGAAACGCAAATTAAAACCACAATAAGATACCACTATCCACATTTTATAATCACTAAAATTAAAAAGATTAATCATAACAAGTATTGAACAGGAGGTGGAAAAATTGGAATTCTAATGCAATGCTGGTAGGAAAGTACAATGATACAAATTTGGAAAAGAGTTAGTCAATGTCTTAAGTTGTTAAATATATACCTACCATATAATTTATACATTCCACACCCAGATTTTCATCCAAGAGAAATAAAAGTATATGTCCTTACAGAGATTTGTAAATAAATAAGTACAGAGACTTGTAGCACCTTTATTTGTAATAGCCAAAAACTAAACAATTCAAATATTTATCAACAGGTAAATGGATAAACAAATTGTGGTATATCCATACAATGGAATACTACTCAGCAAGGCAGAGGAACGAACTACCAGTAGATACACACAACATGAATGAATCTCAAAACCATGCCATGTAAAAGCATGACAAAAGTATTGTATGATTGCATTTATAAAATATTCTAGAAAATGCAAAGTAACCTGTGGTGACAGGAAGCGAATCAGACATTGCCTGAGGACAGTGGGGGGCAGAGAGGGGTAGCATTGGTAGGGTACCACAGGTAGAGGCAGAGGGTGGGATTACAAAGGGGCAGGAAGAAATTTTGTGATCGACAATATATTCATTTTCTTTATTATGGTGATGATGCTATGACTGGCTTCATTTATCAAAAGCTATCAAGTTTATACTTTAAATATGTACAGCTTATTGTGTATTATTTCTCAATAAAGTTGTTTACAACAAAAAATCTAGGAAAAGAAACTTAAGCAATACTTTACCCATTACTGTAAACCTACAAATGAATGGGTTAACCTTAAAAAATAATGGTAATTAGCTGGGTAGTTACCTAACTCAAGGCATGAAGCATAATAGCACACAACCAAGACACAGCGAGTTGTCATTTCTGATTTTTAGTGTTTTTTTGTGTGTGTGTTTTTTAATCTACTTGGTCCCCTAGTTGTAAATGAGAAGACTTCAGGGTGGGAGTAGGAAAGGGGAATACAATGCCTCAAATTTCCCTGTCTTGCTTGAGCTAGCCCCACTAAATACCTGGTATCTGTCCACTAAATACCTCCTGCCTTTTAGTCAAACCACTCCATGCTTTTTAAAGAACTTAGGGTTCGCGAGGGGCGGGGGAGAGAAACTGTAAGTGATAAATATACTAATTAAAAATTCACTGGGGGGCCGGCCGAGTGGCGCGGTGGTTAAGAGCTGGCTTGGGACTCCAGAGGCCCTGGTTCGGATCCCACATATGAGGGCCAGTGACACTGCCCTCTACAGCTAAGATGCTGAACAACAGCTCAACCTGGAGCTGGGCTGCCGTGAGTCGCCGGCGAGGCGTAGGCTGCAGCCCCTGCTGCAGTGGGTTGCCATGGGCTACCGTGTGTAGCCAGCAGCCAGCATGAGCGGCCAGCAGCCGCAGTGAGCGGCCGTCCAAAGCCGGCAACTGATCTGCCTCACCCGGGAAGAGCGCAATGATGGTGTCAGCTTGGGCCAGTGAAGCAACATCCTCCACAACTAGACTGAAGAACAAAAGGACAGCAACTTGTCTGTTCCCCTTCCCGCCCCCAAAAACAAAAATCTAAAATAAAAAAAAATTCACTGGGGAGGAAGTGTTGCCTTAGAAATTGTGCTAACAGCATATACATGAGCATTCAGGTATAAACACAGCATGAAAGAAATGGGCCCTAATCTTTCCATACACATCCCACTAGTATTAAATGTTTTGAATTATGATACATTTTCATAATTTATCAGAGACTCTAGTATGAATTTAGTCCTAAAAAATCAATCAGAAAACACCATTACAGACCTTTTCATGTACAAAGCAGTCTACGGGGCACTGTGTAAGGGATAATGTAAAAAGCATACTAAATTAACACTGAGATTTAAACTGAAGTTCTTCTGTTTGCTTATGAACCATAAGACCCTAGACATGTAAGGGCATTTTGTGAGCCTCGGTTTCCTTAATCAGTAAAACAGAGAACATGCCTGCATCATCTATTTTACAAGGTTGTTGTAAATATCAAAGAAAATGATATGAATGCATTTTTGTAAACTTTTAAGTCCTGAACATCCATAAAATACTTTTTTTAAGCAGAGGTGAAATGGCTTAGCATTTTCAATTTTATCTAAATGTTTAAACAAAGCCAATAAAATATAATTTTAAAAAATGTCACACCATGCCTTTTATGAGTTTTTCCAATACTAAAATAAAAGCTTTTATCAAAAGCGTATGGAACAAATTGAATAAATTGTAGTATTTTATGTCAGAAGCTTTGACTGAAGAACTCCCAAATTTTAAGGCAAAAATAGAACTAAAAAGAAAACAAGACATATTCTCGACTAATACATTTTAAAGGATAAGAAATTCTAGTGATTTTTTTTTAAACAAAAAAAAGGGTAGAATTATACTGTCTTAATTTAGATGATCTTGCCAAAGCCATCCTTTTCTAAATACAGTGGACATTTGTGGAATAAGTCTGATTACCAATTAGATTAACTCTGTGGTTTCTCTAACACTTTACTGTTGTGTGTTCTAGCTAATCAATCTTCATTTTTTTATAATTTCAATATACACAAAGAAAATAAAACATAAAGCATATACCCATAATTATATAATGACTATATATAACACATACTATACAATATATACAGCAGTAATTCATAATTCATTTCTTCTTAAAGCATCTCCATTCAAAAATTTCCTAAACCACCACAACAGATAACCCCATCATGAAACTCTGAGAATGAATCTAAAACTAATTTTTTGGATATTCTAAGCAGGAGTTAGGAAACTACAGCCCACAAACCAAATATACCTGTTTTGTACAGCTTATGAGCTAAGAATGGCTTGTTGTATTTTAAATGGTTTTTAAAAAGAAAGAGAAAAAAGGAAGAATGTTCTGTAATAAGTGGAAATTATATGAAATTCAAATTTTGGTGTCCATAAACACAGTCATGCAATTTTTAATCCCAGCTATAGGCTAAAATGGTAGACGTGAAACTCATTGGAAGGCTTGAGCTTCCATGTTCAGGGCTCATTTCATTACATCCAAGATGCCTTATTATCATATGATAAAGTATCATATGATAAATTTCACTGCTACCATTGTCATTTTACTTAGGAGATTAATAAAGACATTAGTGGCCACAATTAAACAATCTTTTTTCTGTGTCATGTTAATATTTCTATAAGTAGGAACATTAGCGAATTATTGAATTATTTCAAAATATTTTTTTCTTTTTGGAAAACATTAGATATTTCTCATATTTATGACAGACTTTCCAAGTTTATGTGAAGCCTTATTACTTGCCAAAGTCAGAACAAGAATTTTTTTTATCTTCCAAAGACTTTTAAAAGTTTTCAGTATTTATGAACATCAAATCATACCCTAAAAAAATTGATAATTTTAAAATATAAGAATTAAAATGATAATCAAAATTTTAAAATAAGAAAGAGATACATTGGTTTAAAATAACCAAAACTTAAGAATTTCTGAAATTCTTCAAAAATTTTTATGCAGCTAAATATTTTATGCCTTTCCAATTCTCTCTCTCTT